CCTTCAAGGCAGGGGTTGCAGTGCACGTACACCATGATGGCTGTTTCCGCTCACCCAGCCAAGGCTCCAGGCCTGTTTCCACTCCGACCCTGAGCTGTGGAGGGGGGAGGGGCCGCGGGCGCCGCCGACCGGGACTCAGCAGCCCCGCCAGGCAGGTAAGGGGGCCGGAAACCGCGGTTTTGGGGGAGCTGCGGGGTCCGGGCCGCGGGAGGGGGCGGGGGCGCCCCGGATGTCCTTGGCCCGGCGCCGGCCCTGGGCCTGGGTGTGCGGTGGGGGGTGTGGGTGAGGAGGGGAGCGTTGCCCCAGGCGACGCCAAATTGGGTTACGCCCCAGTCCCCGGTGCCCCGTCCCAGATCGCAACCTTGATGGGAGGGTGCGAACCCCATCCCTGGCCGGCAGAGCCCCTAGCCCGAACCCGCCTCCCGCTCTCCAGGGCGAAGGGCTAGGTCGCGGTACCCGCCTCCCGGCGCTGCCCGGCCACTCCCCCGCCTTGCCCACCCTGGCGCACCTGGGCCCCTCCCCCAGGTCACCCTGGTGCCCACTGCCGTCCAGCGGGGGTCTAGGCCTTGGCCTCCTCCGCCCCCTTCGACCCCCTCTGGCTCGTACTTCTCCTTCCAGGCTCTTCCAGTCCCTTCCCTCCCCTTGCCCAAGCTCCCAGCATCCCCACCCGTCTCCAGTCCCTTCCCCGCCGGCCGGCGCGCCCCCTCGACTCCCGCTCCCAGTCCCGCTCCCGGTGCCCCCGCCCCCCTGCCGGCCCGGGCTTTCCCCCACCGGTTTCACCGCCCCAGCCCCGGCTTTCTCCCCGCCTCCCTCCGCCTCCATTCATTCTCGCGGCCCGGCTCTCGGCCACGCCAGCCGCCCCCTGTCCCCTCGCAGCCTCCCAGGGCACCCCCTCTCCCCTTCTCCACCCCCCCCCCCGCCGATTCCTCAGCCCGTCTCGGTACCAGCTGCGTGCCAGCTATTCTTAGCCGCGGAGCGTTTGATTCATGCCGCCCCGGCGGAGTGTGCCCGCTCCCTCCCTCGAGGCCTGAGGGGGAGGGGCCGGAGCTGGTCGGGGGTTGGGGCAGCCGTGCGCGCGGGGGGCCCCGGCCAGATTGTCTTTCATCCCACGGTCCACCCCGTCCGTGCGCGGCTGGTGCTGGGGGTCAGCCAGGGTCAGCCGAGGGGGAGTGGCTG